CCCTGGGAACTCCGTGTCCCCCTCCCCCGCGGGGTCCGGGGACCGGGCTGTCACCCCCCACAGCAGCACCTGCTTGTCCGGGGCAGGAGCGGGGCTGGATGTGACTCCAGGCGCTCCCGCAGACATTCCCAAGGCCGCGGATTCCCGGGGGGATTCGCGCCGGGGCTCCCTGTGCGACCGGCACTGCTCCACCATCAACAACGACCTGGGCGACCCGGGCTGTCACCAGCACCGGCTCCGCGGCCCCGCGGGTAGGTGGGCGTGGGGAGGGCCGGGCAGGGGGTGCTGGGGGTGCCGTCCCCGCCCCCCGTGACCACCGTGTGCCCCCCCAGCCGCGCCCTCCCCGCACCTGGAGGAATGCGAGAGCTGCGCCAGGACCACCCTGACGGCCGAGAACGCCGTGGAGGCCAACAAGCTCTCCAACAACTACAAGGTGGGTGCCCGTGGGGCCGGGGGTGCTCCGGGGGGGTGCTCTGGGCTGGCTTTTTCTCCACCCCCCCCTAAATACCCCCCCACCCCCGGTGTCCGCAGTTCGGCTTCAAGAAGTGGAAGAGCCACGTGACGGCGCGGCCGTGGGAGGAGCGCTCCGAGATCGTCAAGGAGCTCTACTCGGACCTCACCGTGCTCCGGGGCCCTGCAGGTGGGACAGGGGACAGCCCCGCGGCTCTAGGGGGGCTTCGGGTGCCAGCGGGTCCCAGCTGTGCCCCCTCCATCCCCTCAGGGTCCACGGTGACGTGTGGGAATGTCCTGTACCTGCTGCTCTTCGGCTGGTGGCTCTCGCTGCTGCACGGGCTGGTGGCCGCAGGGATGTTCCTCACCGTCGTGGGGGCTCCTCACGGTGAGTCCCGGGGCTGGCAGGGGCTGGGGGAGCCGGGGGTGTCCCGGCTGGGCTCCCGACAGCGTGGGGATCTCCTGTGTCCCTTCTCCCTGGAGCTGGAGGGGACACGAGCGTCCCCGGTGTCCCCCAGGGCGGCTGTGCTGGGACCTGGCCGGGTATTTCCTGTGGCCCTTCGGCAAAGTCATCCAGAAGGTGGAGGTAAAGGTGCATCCCAAATCCCAGGGGGTGGGTGGGGTGTGCCGTGCCACGCCCTGACAACCCCCCACCCCCCCCGTGTCCCCCAGGTGCCCAAATCCCAGGAGGCCGGAGCGGGGGAGAGCTTGGCCCTGCTGGGGGGTCCCACCCCAGGCCGGTGGAGCCCGCGGTGCTGGGAGGGCACCGGATACTGGGTGAGCTCCACACTGGGCATGGTGACACCCCACGCCGGGCACTGGCACCCCCAGAGCCCCCCAGGGCGGGGAGAGCCCCCCAGGGCCCCCCCTCTCCCCGGGGTGGGTGTTTGGGGGCCGCCCCTGACGGTGCTTCCCCTCGCAGCGCCGGGTGGGCTGTGTGGCCTGGCTGTGCCTGGGGTACCCGCTGCTGGCCCTGTGCCACGGGCTGGTGTGTGTCACCGCCTGGCTCCTCATCGTCACCATCCCGGTGGCCAAGCTGAGCGCCCGCAGCGCCACCCGTGTCCTGCTGCTGCCCCCCGAGCGCGTGCGTGTCCGCAGGCTCAGGATGGTGAGGCTCCTGCAGGGGATGGGGGGGGTTTGGGGGGGCTGGGGTGGCAGCAGGGGGGTCACCCAGCCGTGTCCCCGCAGACGGAGGTGCCGCTGGAGGGGGAGGTGCTCCTGTGCTGCCACCGCGCTGCCAACCCCTACTACTACAAGTACTCCGTGCACGGCCTCAACGTCTTCGCCATCAGCATCCATCGCCGGGGTGCTGGGGAGGGACCCCAATCCCACCCCACCCTGGGTGTCTCCTTGAGCAGCCCCCGGACCTGCTGGGGGTGGGGATGGAATGGGAATGGGGGGGCTGACCCCAAATCCCACCCCAGCTTGGGCACCCCCTTGACTGGCTCCCCAGTCCTGGTGCTGATGGGGTGGGATGGAGTGGGAATGGTGTGGGGAGGGGCTGGCCCCACATCCCACCACACCTCAGGCACCTCCTTGACCAACCCCCCTCAGGCCTGTTGATGGTGATGGACTGAGAAGGGTGGGAAAGGGGGGGCTGACCCCAAATCCCCCCCTACCTCGGTTGTCTTCTTGACCAGCCCCCTCAGACTTGCTGGTGATGGGGTGGAAATGGTGGGGGGGCTGACCCCAAATCCCACCCCACCTCGAGCATCTCCTTGACCAGCTCCCTCCTGACTGGTGCTGCTGACGGGGTGGGATGGACTGGGAATGGTGGGGAAGGGGAGGGGGTGACCTCAAATCCCCCCTGCTCTGTAGTGTCCTTGACCAGCCCCCCAGACCTGCTGCCGCTGGTGCTGGTGACGCTGCTGTTGGGGTACCTGGACAGCCACAACCACCTGAGCAGCTCCACCCTCAAGTTCTCCCTGGCCCTACTCTCCATCATGCCCCTGTCCTACTACATCGGCATGGCCATCGCCAGGTGAGCTGGGACAGCCCGGGGACACCGCCTGGGGACGGGGACACCGCCTGGGGACAGGGACACCGCCTGGGGACGGGGACACCGCCTGGGGGCAGGGACACCGCCTGGGGACACTCAGTTCTCTGGGACTTGCACACCCCCTGGGATCTGCCCACGTTTTCCAGCCGTTCTGAGGGTTGTTCCAACGTGGTTGGCTCCCCCTGGGCTTTGTGTGTCCTTTGCTGGGATCTTGGCACTGTGTCCTGTTTGAATCTTCAATCCCCACCTGGTTTTCCCCTCCTGACAACTTAAAGCTTGGTGTGCCCAGCAGCAAAATCCATGTTTTTAAAGGTTCTGAGGAATTTGGCCCTTCTCAGAGGTGAGGGCTCCAAACTAAGGTTCCTTGGGAGCAGAGCCCGACCCCCCCCGGCTCCCCCCTCCTGGCAGGGACTTGCAGAGCCAGAATGTCCCCCCTGAGCCTCCTTTTCTCCAGGATGAGCCCCCCCAGCTCCCTCAGGAGTTCTCCAGCCCCTTCCCAGCTCCCTTCCCTGCCCTGCACACGCTCCAGCCCCTCCATGTCCCTCCTGTCGGGAGGGGCCCTGAACTGGGCACAGCACTCGAGGTGAGGCCTCGCCAGGTGCCAGCAGAGGGGACAGTCCCTTCCCGGGTCCCGCTGCCCCGTTCCCACCCGCGTTCCCGAGCCGGGGTTCGCCGTGCCCGCTGTCCCCGCCGTGCCCGCTGTCCCCGCCGTGCCGCTGACCCTCCGCTGTCCCCACTGTCCCCTCTGTCCCCGCCGTGCCCGCCGTCCCCTCTGTCCCCGCCGTGCCGCTGACCCTCCGCTGTCCCGCAGCATCTCGGCGCAGAGCACGTTCGCGGTGGGCGCGGTGGTGAACGCCACCTTCGGCTCCGTCACCGAACTCACCTTCTACATCAGCGCCCTCCTCAAGGGCTCCCGCGAGGGCAGCGCCTGCTACGCCGAGGTGGTGAAGGCGGCGCTGACCGGGACCCTGGTGGGCTGCGTGCTCTTCATCCCGGTGAGGAGCGGGGGGGCTCGGGCAGGGGGGGATTGGGGGGACCCTGGTGGGCTCGGGCAGGGGGGGATGGCGGGACCCGGGCGCTGATGCCGGCGGGGACCTCCCAGCTTTCTTGGTGGGTCCCAGGTTTCGGTGGGTCCTTTCCCCCTCTTTTGGGGCGGGTCCCCCTTGGCTGGGCGTGTCCCACCCCCCGGGCGTGGCCGTGGGCGCTGAGGGGTTTGGGGGCTGTCCCGCAGGGTCTGTGCATGGTGATCGGGGGCATCCGGCACCAGGAGCAGCGCTTCAACAGCCGCTCTGCCGGCGTCAGCTCCGCCCTGCTCTTCCTCTCGGTGGGAGGTGAGCGGGGATGGGAGCGGCCCCGGCTCCGAGGGGGGCGGCATGGGGGTCCCACCGGGGTTTGGGTGCCCACCCCGCGCGTGCCTTTGTCCCCCCGCAGGAGTCTTTGCCCCCACGCTGTTCTCCAAGGTGTACGGGAAGCTGGTGTGTGGGGAGTGCCACAACGTCACCCAGAACCCGCTGGGACACTACCTGTGCCACAGCTGCCACTTCGACCTGGTGAGGGGACTGGGGCACCCCAGCAGTGGGCCTGGGGTTAACCACAGGTTTGGGATTAACCAGGGATTAACCACGGGTTTGGGATTAACCACAGAATTGGGATTAACCATGGATTAACCATGGGTTTGGGATTAACCATGGGTTTGGGATTAACCATGGGTTTGGGATTAACCATGGAATTGGGATTAACTCTGCTGGTCAGAGCCTGGTGCTAAAATGCCAAGTGGTGGGTTCAGTCCCCATATGAGCTGTTCAATTATAAGCTTGATGGTCCTTGTGGGGTCCCTTCCAGTTTGGGTTTGGGATTACCCACAGATTTGGGGTTAACCCCGTTGGTCAGAGCCTGGTGCTGCAGTGCCAGGGTTGTGGGGTCAGTCCCTGTATGGCCATTCACTGATGAGCTGGACTTGATGACCCTTGTGGGTCCCTTCCCACTCTGGGGTTTTCTAACGGGGATTTTGGGGCTGGGGATGCTCTGATCCCCCACCTCTGGTGCTGGGTGGTGGCAGCAGGGCTGTCCCTTGTCCCCGTGTCCCCCCTGACCGGTGCTCTCTCTGCAGATGGACAACAACGGCACCCTCTACTACAGCCACGTCCAGTGCGTGTCCTGCCCCTCTCCTCCATCCCTGCTGCTCCGGGGATCTCCAGGCCGGACCCTGGTGGCCCTGACGTGTCCCCTGTGTCCCACAGACCCCTGGTGTACACGGTGTCCCTGCTGCTCCCCGCCGGCTACCTCGTGGGGCTCTGCTTCACCCTCAAAACCCACTCCCACATCTACGACATCCACGTCAGCGGCTGCCACAGTGAGTGTCCCCAATTCCCGGTGCCCTGGGGTGTCCCCCCGTGCTGCTGTCCCTGCCAGGGCCAGGCCACACCACAGTGCCACTGTGTCCCTGTGCCCCCCAGTGCCAGGCCACCACCACAGTGCCGTGGTGCACTGGTCCCAGTGTCTCTGGTCCCAGTGTGTCTCTGGTCCCAGTGTGTCTCTGGTCCCAGTGTCACTGGTCCCAGTGTGTCCCTGTCCCTCCCAGTGCCAGGCCACCACCACAGTGCCGTGGTGCACTGGTCCCGCTGGCGGGCCCTGGTCATCCTGCTGCTCTCCACCCTCTGCATGTCAGCCTGTGCTGACCTGGCCACGGAGCACATCAGCCCCATCCTCACCAACTCCACCATCTCCCAGGTGAGATGGCCGTGGGGATGCTGTGGGGGCAGGGTTGGGTGGCCCTGGGGACCGGGACACCCCAGCCAGGGGTGCAGTTTGAGCCCCAGGAGCTGCAGGGAAAAGGTGCTGAGCTGCTGCTCCTCCCCCCGAGGGGCTCCTGGCTGTGGCTGGGCCGGGCTGATGTCCCCTCTCCCCTGCAGTACTTCATCGGTGTCACCGTGCTGGCCATGGTGCCTGAGCTGCCAGAGATCGTCAATGGCATCCAGTTTGCCCTCCAGAACAACCTGAGCCTGAGGTGAGGTGGCTCCAAGCAGCAGTTTTGGGGTGGTGCCCGTGGCCTGTCCCACTCCTGTCCCCCTGCCTTGGGTGGGCTGCCCAGCCCCTGGGAGGGGCAGATCTTGCCAACTCGCCCCCGAGGGGGCTCAAAGCCGCCCAAAAAGCGGGATCAGAGCAGGATGGGCTGCCTGGTTGGCTCCTCGAGGGGGGTTTTGCTCCCTCCCGGGGCAGCTCCCGAGTCCCGGTTCCTCCGCAGCATCGAGATCGGGAACTGTATCGCCGTGCAGGTCTGCATGCTGCAGATCCCCATCCTTGTGCTCTTCACCATCTTCTACGTGAGTGCAAGCCCCCAGGGACACCCCCCTGCAGGGCTGGGGACACGGGAGGACACGGGGAGGGGACACCCCCACCCCAGTGGGGTCCCCTCTGTGTCCCGCCTGGGCGAGGGCAGACGCCCGGGGGGTGACACACAAACCCCCCCTGACTGGGGCTGGGGACACACTGCTCACCCTGGGGTGACACACAAACCCCCCACTGGGGCTGGGGACACGCTGCTCACCCTGGGGTGACACACAAACCCCCCTGACTGGGGCTGGGGACACGCTGCTCACCCTGGGGTGACACACAAACCCCCCCTGACTGGGGCTGGCGACACGCTGCTCACCCTGGGGTGACACACAAACCCCCCCTGACGGGCTGGGGACACGCTGCTCACCCCGTGTCCTGCCCTCCCCCAGCCCACCAACTTCACGCTGGTGTTCAGCGACCTGCACGTGTACGCCAGCATGTTCAGCGTGGTGCTCATGAACTACACCTTCATGGACGGCAAATGTGACTACTTCCAAGGTGAGCTGGCATGTGGCACGTTGTGGGAGGGGGGCTGGACCCACCCCCGGGGGCTTCTGCGCACGGTGGGGTGACCTGAGCAGTGGGGGGGGTCCTGCTTGGCCACCTCGGAGGTGCTGGAGCTGCTCCAAGGGGAATCACTGCCATTTAACCCTCAAAAAGGGTTTTAAACTCCTTTTAACTGAGACTTTGCAGAGGCCCACGAAATTCATCTACAAGGGGGCTCATCCAGACCACCCCAGAACACCTTAAATCCCCTTCCCTCCTTGCTCCATAGAACAGCTCCCTCCAACCTGCTCCGCTGGGCCCTTGGTTGACCATCTTGGAGCTGCTCCAGGGGGGGAATCCCTTTTCACCCTTTAAAAAGGCTTAAAACCCCCTTTTAACCGGGATTTTGCAGAGGCCCCCGAAATTCCTCCACAGGAGGCTCATCCAGGCCAGTCTTTACCAACTCCCCCCGCTGTGTTCCCCCAGGCACGGTGCTGGTGATGGTTTACTTCATCCTCCTGGCCGTGTATTTCTTCGCCCCCTCGCCCCGTGGCTGCTGAGCCGCGGCCTCTCCCGGCCCTGCCTGCATTCCCGGAGTTCTCCGGCTGGCAGGACCATTCCCGGAGCTGCTGCTGCTGCTGCTGTCGCCTGGCCCCTCCCGCGGGGCTGGGATCGCTCCTGGCAGGGGGAGCCCCGGGGCCGGAGCGGACACGGAGGGGTTTGCACGGGGGGATCTCCCCCCAGGTGCCTGCAAGGAATTTTGTCCTCGGAGGAGGGGCTGGAAGGGGATCCCGGGACAGACCCCTTCCTTGGGAAGTGTTGCACTGGGAGAAGGGGCCGGGGAAGGGGCCCCGGGGTGATCCCAGGGAGGAAGTTGGGGTTTTGGGGTCACGGGGGGCTCTCTGGAGGCACCCGGGGGGGTTTCTGAGCCGGTTGGTCATTAAAGCAGTTTTGTACAAACCAGCACCAGGTGGGTTCTCCTTGCACGGGCCTCGGTGGCCTCGAGCGGGGCCAGGGACGGTCCGGGAACATCTCCGGGAGAGGGCGGGGGGATGAGGTGAGGATGGGACAGAGCCTTGGACTGATTTAGGAGAGGGGCTTTAACCCCAACCCCTGGCAGCCCCGTGGACACGGGGGAGGATCCTCCTGTGCCCCTTCCCTCTCCTCATCCATTGGGATACACCCCGGGAATGGCAGTGCTGCTCCCTGCACACCCCGGGAATGGCAGTGCTGCTCCCTGCCTGCCATTCCCGGGAATGCTGCACACCCCGGGACACATCCCTGCTCCTTGCCTGTCCCGGGAATGCTGCACACCCCGGGACACATCCCTGCTCCCTGCCTGCCCCGGGAATGCTGCACATCCCGGGACACATCCCTGCTCCCTGCCTGCCATTCCCGGGAATGCTGCACACCCTGGGAATGGCAGTGCTGCTCCCTGCCTGTCCCGGGAATGCTGCACACCCCGGGACCCATCCCTGCCTCCCTGCCTGCCCCGGGAATGCTGCACACCCCGGGACACATCCCTGCTCCCTGCCTGCCATTCCCGGGAATGCTGCACATCCCGGGACACATCCCTGCTCCCTGCCTGCCATTCCCGGGAATGCTGCACACCCCGGGACACATCCCTGCTCCCTGCCTGCCCCGGGAATGCTGCACTCGGGAAGGCCCCGTGGCCATGGAGAACAGCCTGGGATCCCCCTGGGATTCCCGAGGGCAGCAGCTCCTGGAGGACTAATGAATCTGCCCTGTTCTCCCAGCCAGGCAGCAGCGTGGGCAGTGCTGGCATTAGTGGGGATGTCTGGGAGCGTTCCTGGGGGAGGATCTGCACAGGCAGGGATGGGAGGGCAGGTGTGGGAGAACCTGCTCAGTGCCCTCCCAGTGAGGTAAACTGGGAATTCTTGGGCTCTCCCTGTGTCCTGTTCCCCATGCCAGGCCTCACAGAGGCCGCTCTGATCTCCTCTCCATTGGTGCTGCAGGGCCTGAATCCTCTCCCCTTCCCTTAGGGAATTGCAATCCAAGCTTTTCTCCTTCCCTGCAGAATCCCAGCAGGACTCCCAGCAAACCCTGCCATGGGAGCTCAAACTGAGCTCCTTTTTCAGGAGGAGCAGCCCCCGAGCTCTCGTGCCCCTCGCGCTCCAGCCACCCCCGGGGCCTGGAATGGCAGAGATCCCTGGAAATCCAGCAGTGGGTGATGCCTTTACCCAATCTATCAGATCCCTGGGGGTTTATTCCGTGGCTATCCTGGTGGGAGCAGTTCCAGGCTGCAGGTGGAGGGTCCCACAAGGATGTTGGAGACCCTGGTGAGTCCCCCCTTTTCCAGGCTGGCCAATCCAAGTGCCCTCAGACACTCCTTCCAGACCCTTCCCTGCCCTCAGGGAGCCAACAGCTCTTCCCAGTTCAAAAAACTTGGTATTCCTTGGAGCCTGAGTCCCTGGAAGATGTTGGAGAGCCCTGTGGAGCCTCCCCAGTGTCCTCCCACTCCCTGGAATTCTTTGCTCCCAGCCTGAACCAGCTGCTGCCCCCCTACACGATGTGCTTATCCACTGGTTATCCCAGACAGCTTTTCCAGAAGGATCCTGGGAGAGACACTGCCAAAGACTGCATCTGCTGGCTTTCCTGGAGCAGCCAGGTGGGTGTCCTGGAAGGAAATCAGGTGGGATAAGCAGGACCTGGCCCCGTGCTGGCTGTTGTCCTCCAGGTGCTTCTCAAGACTTCCCAGAACAATCTTTTCCATGATTTTACCAGGCACTGAAGTGAGAACAGGCCTGGACTGCTGGGACCTCTCCACATTCCCAAAAATCATGGAGAGACAGGCTTTGCTTTCCTCCAGCACAGGAAAGCTCCAGAGTTTTCCAGAGCAACGAAAGAGCCTAAGGAAGCTGCTTGCTCACAGACATCCAGGCTTGGGTGGTTCTAATGGCACCTTGGGAATGGTGGGAGATGCTCCTCGAAGGGAAGAACCAGCCCAGGGATGAGCAGGAAGCTCCAGGACAAAGGGAACTGGGAAGGCCGAGGTGGATGTTGAGGATGGTCCTGCAGGAGGGACCCCCCCCCAAACCAGGAACCCTCCCCACAGCCACCAGCAGGGTCTGGATCCGGCTCCTGAGCCAGGAGCTGCGGGATCTGCAGCCAGGGAGGCTGGGAAAGGGGCTGGAACAGGATCATCCGGGTTGGGAAAGACCTCCCAAGATCCTCAGGTCCAACAACTCCCATGAAAAGGGACCGAGACAACGACCCCGAGGTCCAACACACCTGAGGGAGCCTCAGCTTTGACTTTTCTGAGCCTTGGGGGAAAAAAGGCTGAACCGAAGGTGGAGAAGGAGGCAAATCCACGCCCAGCCCCGGGGAAGGTGGGTTTGGGGTGGCAGTGACTGCAGCAGGCAGTGCCTCGGGATTCACGCTCCGGTTTATTGGGATGGGAATGCCAGAACGCGACCCCTCCAAGGGAAGTGAAAGCCCAGAGCGGGCCCCTCGGCCCTGGCAGCGCGGGAGAAGCCGATGTTTGAAAGAAAAGGCACTTAAAAAACGGTCTGCAACGGAAAAGGAAGGATTTAGCAGGAATTCCGGTGGCCGCTGGAAGGGGCAAGGTGCAGGTACGGAGCACGGGAGCGGGGACAGCCCCTCCTTCCCCCCTTCCCCTGCTCCCCCGGCTCCCTCTCCCCGCTTTTCCCCCTGGAATTCCCGGGCTGAGCAAGCCAGGGCCTTCCACACTGCCAACCATTTTCCCCGGGGCGCAGGGACAGCGGGGACACGAGGGAAGGGCCGAGGAACGAGGAGTGGGAAGGAGGGAAAGCCACAGAGACCCAGGGCCCGGCGCGGGTCCGGCAGATCCCGGGCTCAGGGTTTTCCAGGGGTCATTCCAGGAGCAGGAAAGGTTAAAACAGCCTCGGCCCAACCTCCTCCCTCCCCCTCCTGCGGCAGCCCCTGCAGTGGCAGCTTTTCCCGGGAGTTTTCCAAGCAAACCTTTCCACGCGGGAGCACGGCCGGGACAGGGCTGGCTGGGGGGGGGGTGTTTCCAAGCGGTGCTCCAGGAAAAGCTGGGATATTCCTGGGGGTGGGAACATGCCCGGGAGACACGTGCAAAGCAGGAGGAACTGTTGGGAGCTCAGCTGGGGGCGGCAGGAGGGGTTATCCAGGGAAAACAGCAGCTGGGGGGTGGGTGTGCAGCGACTGCTCCTGGGCAGTGGAGACATTCGTTAATGAGCTCCCTAATTAATCACCGAGCGCGGGATGGTCGGGGCCGAGTCTCAGGGAAGGTTTTTTTGGGAGGGGTGAGCGGTGGGATCTGTGAGCTCCATAAATAAAAAGGGGATTGGTTTGTTGTTTGTTGTTTGTTTTCCCAGCAGGTCCGAGCGGGAGGCTCCGGCAGGCACGGCTGTATCTGCAGGCTCGGCTGGGCGGGCTCTCCCTGCTCCTGCCGCGCTCCCGCCGCTCCTGGATCCATAAATAAGGAGTGGGAAGGGGGCTCTGCAGCAGGGGAGGAGCTGGACCCTCATTTTAGCCGCTCCACCAGTGCCTGGGTCAGTCCGAGGTGCAGGAGCTGAGGCCTGGGCAGAGTTGCCAAGTGGGGGAAATATTCCAGGAGCTTTTCCCAGCACAGTTCCAGCAGGCTGGGAACAACCAGCCACATCTTGAACAGGGAGCCAGTCCTTTTGTTCTCGTGGATGTCCACCACCCCTCCGTGCACGTACATGCAGCCAGCCTGTGGGAACACAGGGAATCACTGCTGGGAACACACAGGGAATCACCGCTGGGAACACAGGGAATCACTGCTGGGAACACACAGGGAATCACTGCTGGGAACACAGGGAATCACTGACGGGAACACACAGGGAACACACAGGGAATCACCGCTGGGAACACAGGGAATCACTGCTGGGAACACACAGGGAACACACAGGGAATCACCGCTGGGAACACACAGGGAACACACAGGGAATCACTGACGGGAACACAGGGAATCACCGCTGGGAACACACAGGGAATCACTGCTGGGAACACAGGGAATCACTGCTGGGAACACACAGGGAACACACAGGGAATCACCACTGGGAACACCCGGAGCTGCTCCAGGTGAGTGCCACCCCAGGAATTCCAGCACAGTGGGATGGGACAGTGTTAATGCACTACAGCCAGGAGAACCAGGTGAGTGCCACCCCAGGAATTCCATCAGAGTGGGGTGGGACAGTGCTGATGCATTCCAGCTGGGAGAAGCAGGTGGAGGGCACTCACGGGGGTGACGGCGGCGCAGTGGAAGTAGACGGGCTCGGGCATGGCCACCGGCAGCCTCAGCCACTGCAGGCTCTGCAGGTTGAGCTTCCACACGTCCCCCAGGATCACCTCCCCGTTGTAGCCCCCGCACACAAACACGTCTGCAAGACAAGCACAGCTGGGGGAATTCCAGGGGAGTGCCGGGGGGGGTCCAGGCCCTGCCATTCCCCGCCCAGGAGAAGTCAGGGATCACCTTCCTCAACCAGCTTGGGGATGGATGGTGATTTTAGCTCAGCACAGGGAGCTCCCACGGCACTGGGTTGGGGTGGGAAGGGACTCAGGGATCAGTAACTTCCAACCACAACACCTCCCACTTATCCCAGGTTGCTCCAGCCCGGCCTTGGACACTTCCAGGGATCCAGGGGCAGCCACAGCTTCTCTGGGAAATCCAGTCCAGCCCCTCCCCACCCTCCCAGCCAGCAATTCCTTCCCAATCTCCCATCTCTCCCTGCCCTCTGGCACTGGGAAGCCATTCCCTGTGTCCTGTCCCTCCATCCCTTGTCCCCAGTCCCTCTCCAGCTCTCCTGGAGCCCCTTTAGGCCCTGCAAGGGGCTCTCAGTTCTCCCTGGAGCCTTCCCTTCTCCAGGATGAACATTCCCAGCTCTCCCAGCCTGGACTTCAAACCCACAGGGAGCAGCCCCAGCTCCCAATCCCACCTCACTCCTGGCTTTTCCCAAGTTCTCAGCCCAGAGGCAGCAAATCCCTGCTGGCTGCAGGCCCTGGGATCACCTCCCAGCTCCTGCCTCGCTCTTACAGGCACCCTTTCCCTCCTGGAAAATAGACCCCCCCTCAGGAGTGGGGGAGAGAGGGATCAGAGCTGGAACTGCTCCTCCAGTGCCACTCAAGGCTTGGGAAGGAGGGAAGAATCATCTTCCAGGACAGCCACGCATTCCCTGCCGCCCTTCCACCTCTCCAGTGCCTGGCTGGACAGGACACCCCAGTTTTCCAGAGGCAAATCTTACCATTTTTTATCTGGACACAGCTGTGGCACCTTCTGGCTGCTGGAAAACCTGGGGAGGAATAAATGAATTAATAAATAGATAAAATCAACTAGCGTTGGTTTAAAGTGCCCGTGGAAGGGG